TTACTAATTCATTCTGGCCGGCTTGCTATTTGATCTTCAGTATGGAGCCAGCCAGCGAAGCGGGCAGCTGCTGATGAAACTCTGCAGTGCAAGTTTCTGAACCGTATAGAAGAACTGACTGACTGACTTGACATTTGTGTTGAACAGAATTCGAATCTTGTTCTTTATACTGCGGAGTGCAGGAGATTTCCAAACTGGTTTCAGGTTGATGAAGGCGTATCTTACCTTTCCGATTCTAGCTGGTGTTGACATCTTCATCCGTTCGGGCATGCTGTAGTTGAAACGATGCTTCCTAGATAAGTGAAGGAGGTAACCTTTGTTAAATCTCTCCCGTTAATGGTGATTTGTGCTAGGAGAATAAATAATCGATAAAACATTTATAAAACAATCAATTGTAACATCTGATATGGTGTACAGCAGTTCACTAAGCATTTAAATACAAAATTGCATAAGACCAACTACTGGAGGGAATTCGAATTTTTCCCTCCATTCATGTAAGGCGGAAATGTGATGTTCAATTAGAATTTGGTTTGGCCATAACTTAATAATATTAATAACAGCTTTATTCTGAACAGTTTTTATATAATGTGCAAAATTTTCAGCGGCAGTCATTGAATAATAGTTTCTGTTTTTCTGGGATTGAAATCTTCCAGTTTTTGTTTCATTCCTTCATGTTCCCAGTGGAACATAGGGCTTCAAGCTAGAGGTTTGAAGTTTCTGTAGCAGTGTTTATTTTGACAGGGTGGGGTTGCTAGCCTCATGCCCCCTCCAAACTTTCCTTTTTACCAACTTTTATTTCTGGTTTAGTGAGGTAAAGGAGTGCGTTGGCCAGGGATTGAACCCCAGACCATGTGCACTGTCGGCGAGCGTCCTAACCGCTATGCCACCAGTGCCATTCTGTATATCGGCTGGCTGTGACTACATTTTCAAAATCCAGTGTGTTTCCATTCCACTGAAAGACAAAAAAGAAATCCCTGCTTCATTCGACAATATCTCAACTAGAACAGGACTGAGATTCATTGTGAATAGTAAATAAAAAAGACAATTTTCTGAAATACTTTAGGAGTCTCTGACTCGATTCAGTCGGCTTAAGTAGATTTACAAATTACCTTCCGATAGCCGTAGTAATATTGTGGTGAGAGCTGTTTAGTAGACAACAATTTAAGTCAATGTTTACTTCCCAAATCTTGGTCATGAGAAAAACAAGAACAAAGACTGCGTGGGCGGGTACGATTCGCAGATATATGGTATGACCTTCAAAGAAACAGCCACAAAGAGATGACAGAATAACCTTCGGCGAGAAAACAACCAATCAGAAGACACTTTCTCTGCCAGTAAAAACGAATAATAATGTACATAAAAATCTGCTGCTGCTGGATTCAACATAGAACTTGGCACCGAGGTGCAGCAGTTCGAGTTGCCACGTTCCAAAGAGCACACAAAGGTAGACAGGAAAATGAGTGAAGAGAATCAATAGAGTTTTGACAAGTATAAGAGTGAAACAGAATGAGTAATGGTAGAAAGGAATATGGAAGATTACAGAGACTGAATACGTCTGCGCCATTGACAACGATTTTGAGCCATGTCACCTATTGTCTCCAGACATTGATTCTAAGAGTCCCGAGGGCGAGCCCCAACCCGGAAGTCTGCATCTCCCTCCCTACCTGACGCAGTTTAACTGTCAAGGATTTCATGGATTGATGGATGCCATGTTTTTGTTTGGCCAACACTTACTCTTTTCCAACCCACAACACCTATATCAGCTAGTAATGCCCGTCCGTCGGGGTAGGCGATGGCTAGGCATGTGCAGCACGTCACCTAGCCATCTCAATCTATGTAACTTCATAGCCTCTTCGATTGATTTTCCCTCTTTGCCCAACCACACTCTACGCCTAACGTCAACATTACTTACCTTATTATGCCACCTAACGCGAGAAAGAGATCGTAAACATCTGTGGTCAAAAACAGACAATCTCTTCATGTCTTCCACTCTCAATGGCCACGTCTCACCACCATAGAGAAGGACGGAGCGAACTGCTGAGCAGTACACACGTCCCTTGGTTGATAGCCGGATGTCACGCCTACGCCAGAGATGGTGTAAGTTAGCGAAAGCAGCTGGAGCTTTTTGGATCCTTGTTGAGATTTCGTCA